TGTTTCTGGATGTTCTCAGCTGTTAGAGCAATTCACCTAAATATGACTCAGTGCCCTTTAACCAAGAAGAATAACGGACTGCAGCAACAAGGAATGTGGTCTCCAAAGTGAGGGGCTTTTTCCTTCCTGTTTTAATGACCCAAAAAGCTGCTTTCTACTACAGCACCAGTGATGTCTGTTGGGCCACATAAAAGTGCAAATCGTGGATCAAGTCTTCAGCTAGTTAAAACTGAACAGATTTTCTTCATTTTCAGGGGGCTGAAATACTTGACAGTCAATCTGCCTGTCTCCCATGGGACAGCAGAGATGATTTGGCAGCAAGGCATCTGTGTTTTCCTGACATCCCCCAAACCCACACCCAGAAAGGCAAGTCCTCAGCCAGCTGAACACTTAATTTTTAACTCCATCCCTCCCTCCTTATGCTTGGTGTGTAAGCAGACAGGACTGGAGTGCTGGGATCACACCTATGGAAGATTTTTCTGGGGGCAGCTGCTATTTGGGTGTGGGCATCCTGAGGAATGGAGCACAAACTCCAACACCTTTGGAAAGCTCATTCTTAGGTCAAAGAGAGACCAGTAATCACAATTTAAGGTCAGATTTCATAACTGAATTCAGAGTATCTTTCATCCAGGACAGGGTATGAAAATTTCCTTTTAAGACAGACTATTCTCCAAGATACCTGTGCCTGGTCTCAAATAATGAAAGCAGCATCAGCCTCTCCTTCAGTATGCCCAGAGAAACCCTGACCTGCTGGGAGGGAGTGAAGAGAGAGTTAGACTGTTCTCAATAGCACCACTGACAGAAAAAGCTGAGATGGACACAGATTAAAAGCCATCTGAGCACAAGGAAACATTTCTCTTACTCTGAGGGTGGTCAGGTTGTCCAGAGAGGTTGAATATCCCCACAAAACCCAAGTGGGACAGCACTGGGCAAACCTGCTCTGACTCTGCTTGAGCAGGGGACTGGATGAGCTGATTCCAGAGGTCCCTTCCAACCTCAGCATTTCTCTGCTCTGCTGTCGGGAAACGAACGTGCCAGGAAGGTTTATACCTTTGAACACCTCTCCCACATTTTGCAACACACTTTGTTTCTAATTCATGGGTCTTTTGGCTAAAGAACCTTGAAGCAGCCTCTACATCCCTCCCATTAAGACATATCCTGCTCCAGGTGCCTTTCATGTCTTGGATTACTTCTAAAAAACCACCCAGAGAGAAATGGGCATAGCTGCCTCTATAAATCACCAGGGCAAAGCTCAAATAAATTCCTGAGATGATTATTTAAAATATTTACCTTTAAATTACAGAGGAAGTGGAAGTTTGACAGGCTACCTCTGATTGAAAAAACCCAAACATGCAAAATAAGTCCCGTGGTCAGGATTCAATGAATCAGCATCAACAAGCAACTGCAACTGGTATTTCTCATGCAGAACTGGTGCTTTTAACATTTTTAAGGTTGTATCTTGCAAACATCTTGCTGTAATCTACTGTTTTTCTGCCCCTAATTCAACTTAGGCTTTAGGTTAGAGATAAAAGTGTTTCTAATATGGTAAAGCAGAGCTGATTTGATGTCTTTAGTAATGCAACTTTATATGGAGAGTTCCAGCTCTCTTTTAAGAGAAGTTATCTATACATAGCACTGAAGGGTCCCTGTGGCTCCTCCCCTGCAGACCCCCCCTTTTTGTATCAGATGCACAGAATCAGGCTCTGACATTTCCATTTCCAAGATGCCTCAGTGTTATTTTGCTGCTTCACAGATGGGAGACTACAGACAATAAGGCACGATTTGTGAAAGATCCAACAATATGTTAGTGGCAGGGCTGGGAAGAGGATTCAGCTTCCCTAAGAATTCCACCAGCCCTTGCTAAAACCACCACTCCTTTCTGCCAGGAACAGCCCTTTCTTTTGTTCAGCTGCTCCCCTGGATGCTTTACCTGTTACCCCCTGGGAGCAGCAGCCCCTGCACGCTCGTTCTGCACACTCACATTTGCAGGTTCTGCACAGAACCTGGGCAGCTTTCCTGTCTGGGAAGGGGTTGGCAGGAGATGAGGGATTACTCCCAGGCTCTGGATATTTTGGGATAGGTATCCCAGAGGTCTGTCAAGCCCCAGCATCCAGGCACAGAGGGTTTCACTGCCAGCGTGTGCCAGCTCAGCTCTGCTGCACAAACCCCGCTGCAGCGCCTGCCATGGTCTGACACCCTTCTATGCTGACTCTGTTTTCAGAGACTTTCCTCCTGACCTATCTTTCTCTGTACAACATTTCCTTTTGCATTCTGTCTGTGCAGCTTTTTTAGCTTATTTCTGTCCCTCAGCTGTTTCTCTCACGGCACAGAAATTCTCCTGGATCTCTCTGAAGCTTCGCTCGCTCGCCAAACATTTCGTGCAGTTTTTGACTAGCAGGGAGGAGGTTCTGCAAAGCTTTCTATCTAATGAGATATTGAAGCTTTACTTTTTAAAATCTCGTTTGCATCAGGCAGTGACAGTAACCTCTGCTGCTAAATCAGGGGTGTGGCCCGTGATCTGCTGAGTGCACAGCACCCTCTGGTGCCCTCAGACACTGGTCACCCATAACTGCTCTGGTTTCTTCTGATGAATTATTAGCAAGTTTTACACACTCCTACAGTTTATCTGCACTCTCAGGTTCCCTTTTTCCTCTTCCCATTAAAGAAAATAAAAGACATTATCCAGATAGTGTTCTTATGTGCTTCAACCAGCACTATGGTAAAACATCTAATTGCTCCAGTGAGTAGTCTCGGAAGTGAAGGTTTGTTTATAATCTGTGCTTCTTCAGTGCTGCCAAGCAAAACCCCACAGCTTTATCACCTGTTACCCAAAAATGCTTCCAGCAGTAAATTTTAGTACATACAGGTTTGCAAAAGCACAGGCTTCCCAATTAGAAGTTGATGCTAAACAAAAAAAACCCCAAATATCCTTCTCTCCATAGAACTGGGATCCCACACTGATCAAATTTTGACTGTCAGTCCATTTATCTATAATCCTGGCTTCCAGGTTCCCCTAAAGGGACAGGATGGGTTTGAAAAACACTCGTGGTAACAATTCCATAATCAAAGAACTATAGAGAAGGAAAGCAAGGAAGCAAAACCAATTTCTCTCCTCACCTCCCAGTAGCAGGGGTTGAATAAACACAACAGAAGGCAGGCTTTGGACTAAAAACAGTGATCTGGCTTTCCATTCTTTTAATTTTCTGTTCAGAATACTACTAGGAGAAACCTTGAAAATAAAAGCAAGTGTCAAACCACAGTGATCCTGGGTCTTTAGTGTACTATCTGTACTATATCATTGCAAGCAGTAAGAAAAGAAGAGGAAAAACACTCACTTCTGACAGAGTTTTCATGTTTCCCTTGGAAAATTCCACCACTCTGCATAAAAGTGCTCAGAACTTCCCCAAATAATTTGAGTAATGGAAGAAAAAAGAAAGAGCAATCATTGTGCAGACACACGTGAAGGATTGGGACCTCAGCCAGTAAATCCTTCCTTACCAGAGACTCAGACTGAAAACTGTCCATCCTCATTCACTTTTTTTTTTTTTTTAAGCAGCTAATTGAGCATATTTTTCCATGAAGGAAGTTATTATTCCAGGCTCATGCTTCACTGAGTTGAGGCACATGTCGTGGCCGAGGCTGCAGCACCAGGTGCACAGAGGGATTGCGAAGGGTTTTCCTGCTCATTATCAGACATTAACAACGTGTCCTGGGCACCAATGTTGGAGCCTGAGTGAGGAACAGTGTGTTAATCAATCCATCAGGCACTGAAACCCAGAGCTGAACAGCACCTCTGAACAGAAGTCCCAGTTTTATTCAGCTTTTACCATTTTGGCTTTAGCGGCTTTTTTTTCTTTTGAGAAAAATCCTGCCCTGCTCTGAGCTCTGACCAGGCAGGTTTTATGAATGCAGCCAAGGGGCACCTCTGGGCAGTTTTCCCTCTGATATTGCACCTAAAAAAAGGACTGAAAAACTGAAAGGGGAAAATGGTCTGTTCCTGTCCTAAAATTTCTGAGCTGATAGAAGCTGTGAACTGAAGCTTGTGTTACACCTGCCCAGGCCTTCCCTGCTGCTGCTCTGCCACTGGGAGGGAAAATGCATCAAAATTAATCAACGTGGCAGCAGCAATGATTGAATCTGAAAACTTCAGACACTGCAGTTCAGCAGCCAAATGAGACCAGCCTAAACCCATCAAAAGACTTCCATCATTGCCTTATGCAGACATGTGGTGACTACCTTATTGCAAACCATTTTCAGTCACTAAAAGCAGCCACGAGAGACAAACTGTGAATTTTATTTCCCTTTTCCCTCAGGAAGGAGTTTGTATTCAGTGCTACAGCGTAGTCTGCTTGCCCTCTGCATTGTTTATGGACTGGTCCAGAATCACCACAGCTTTAAAGCAAATTAAAGGCAATTAAATTAAAAGCCCTCCTAAGCTGCTGATGGAGATATGCTCACATATATCCGCTGCTACTCTAATGAAGTCACAATTAAAGCTGATCTCAGGGTCCTCCTCAAACACTGTTTATTTGCTCAGATTGACCAGTGGGTCTGTCAAGAAAAGCCTCGTGGAGATCAGAGGTGCAAGATTTTCCAGATGCTCGGGAGTTTCTAAATAAAAATTATGCGACAAGTCCAACGCAGGGTTTGTTGAGGAAAGTTTATGAAAGTCAGTGACTTTAAAGCAGCAGCTGGAGCTGAACACAACTTTCATATCTGAAACTTGTTCCAGCCTGTACCTGAGGTTCAAGGAGCGAAGCTGAAGAGAGAAGGAAGTTGGAGCAAAAATTCTCAACGCCCCAAGATACCACAAAACTTAATCCAGCTCGGATGGAAAGCTCAGCAGGTTGGATTTTTTAACCCATGACTGCCATCAGTAACACGGTTTGTTTGCTTTAAAAGACGGGGAACTCTTGGGAATTGCTTTTCTCCAAATCCTGCACTCCCCTGATCACCCCCTCCAGCCCTTCTGGAGAGAAACAACTGCTGAGCCCTTCCCAGAGCTGAACAATCTGGCTGAGCAGAGGGGAGAGCACGACAAATGGGGAATGTTCCAGGGAAAAATGTTCCTGCAAGGAAGGAAAAGCAGAAATTATTCTGAGATGTCTGCCAAGCAAGTTTGTGTTCCTTCAGGAGGAAGGATTGTGCTTTGAATTTGTTCTCTGTGCCACCTTGAAAAGCCTTTGGAGAGTTCTCTTTGTTCTGAGGAACAGCAAATGGATTTACAGCAATTAAACCAGTTGACAGGTAATGTTTCTAAAAGCACCATGTAAACACTCTTTGAGGATAAAACCTCTCCAGACCATTGGGTGTGCATGGTGCACCAGGGAGTTTAAAAGAACATAAAACAAAAAGAAAACCCCAAACAAACCCCTCAACAACTAAAAGAACCCCAAAACAAACAAAAAAAGGACTTCAATTCATTTTTCTATTAACATTGTAACACTAACAGGCTAAATGTCTTTTCCAGACCAAAGAGGATGGTGCTCTTGTGAGGATTTCATGCCAATTAACACCACACACCCAGCAAGAAAATTTCCTTTTACAAAGGCACTGATTTAATTGGAGGTCGAGGTCTTTTGGTGACTCCAGAGTCTGCTTTGATAAGGGGATTTAACAAAGACATTCAAGTTACCTTCTGTATTTATTTAACTGACTTGATGTGGTACAAGCTCTTCACGACAGGAGGAAAACAACTCCAAGACAGTCATTAGTGCTTCCTTTCCTCTTCACTCATTGACTGTTGCTGCCCGCACTCCATGGATTTAAATATGCAGGAAGCATGTTTGTGGCAGTGGGAATTCCAAGCACGAGCTGAGTGGTAGAAATAATGGAAATAAATTATTACACCCCTCCCTGTTGCCCTTTACCATAAAAATAGTTCATGAAAAATATAATTAAGTGCTTAAGATCAGGCTGTAATTTCAAAATAGGACTTGCAAAGTGTCCTTTGAAGTGTATCTCACTCATTAAATTGTGTGCACCGTTCCCACACATGTGCAATTCCACCTTTTACAGGTTAATTCTGGACAACTGGCTTCCCACAAAATAATTACTGCACAAAAATGCACCCACCTCTGCACTGGAGCCATACAGCACTCAGGAACACAAAGGGACAACCAACAGTGGATTAGGACTTGAGGCAAGACCAGGAACGTGAGATCTTCAAATGGAAGCAAAGTGACAAAATGAGGGTGTGCAAATGTGTGTTTGTGTGGTCACAGGCCCTTAGACTTTCACTTTAGAGCTCTTTCTGTGGACAGATCTTTTCAATCCAACATTAAATAAATCAAATTCCTGTTCTGAAGTCAAGAAACCCCAGGTTCTTTTATACCCACGTGAAGAACAAACCCCAACAAAACGGTGACAGAGATCCTTGAACCAATGGGGTGAAATCCCCTGGTGCAAAGGAGTTGGGTTTGCCTTTGAAGCAGAAATGTTGAAAAGGCCTGTACACTTTATTGTATGCAAAAAAAAAGTCTTCAAGAAGACAAGAACCCATTAGAGTTCCCAATGTCTTGGTATGACTGAAGCAGCCACAGTCCCCTTGGTGGGAGATGGTCCTGCTTGTTCACTTGTCTTCCCCCTGAAGGGATCTTTCCATCCTCTTGAAAGTTTCTCTGGCCATCCAGAAGTTGAGTGGCCCTCAGGGAAGGCAGCAGGCTGTGACTTAATGCCTTGTGACACGTCCCTCGCCCTGGTGATCAGCTGGGTGAGATGTCAGGTGGAATCACATCAGCCAGGGCAGCAGCTCCCCAGGGGGAGAGGGGGGAGCCCTGCAATGCTGCCTCTGGAGCTGCTTTTCACAGACATGTTGATAACCAGGGCTAATTATTACAATGAGTAGTTTCATAATTGCTTCAGAAATCAGTTACCTCAATGGCAACAAACTGGGGGGGATTCTCTGGTAGTCAGTGATATAAACAATAACCCCCGGAATTTTATTACAGCCCCGCTTGGCACGGTGCAGGGTGGTCTAACATGACATTTTTCATCCTACATGTTGGTACTGCAGTGGTACAGAGGGGTTTTAAATACCAGAACTTCAGTAGGACCCTCAGGATGGGGAGGTGGAGGTGCCTCAGCACCCAGGAGTTGTCCCACACTAACCTGGTGTTACTGTGCAAGGAAGGGTAACTCTGGTTTAGGGATGCAATTAATGTCTGGATGAACATCATCACACATCTGCTCACTGGCTTCTACAATTTTGGGTCTGCCTCATTTCAAAGATATTAAAGCTGAGTAGCATCACCAAAAAAAAGGGGAATCACAGCATCTCTTCCCTGGGGAGTGTTAGTGAAGTTAATGGGCACAGTGTTGTGAGGCATCACAACCTGAGATGCTTCTACATCTTCTTCTTTTTCTTTAGTAGGATCAAAAAGAAATCCATCTCACAAAAGTGTCACAAGTGAGGTCTCTTAAATCTCAAATTTGAAGGGAACTCAAAAGAAAAAGTATGTTTGCTCCAGGCTGTTTTAAATTTTTCAGGAAGTTAATGGCACAAAAAATGAATATGGTAAAAATATTGTCCATGGGATAACACGTGGAATGAACTATATTCTCCATTTTCTCAGGCTGTGCTACAAGCAAAAAGATATTTTTAGGGATTGTGTGATGGCTGGAGACTAAAAATACAGAAGCCAAAAATGTCTAACAAAACACTTTCAGTAAAAATAAAATAAAATAAAATTGAAAATTACTTTTTGTTGCATTGCTATTCTTGGATCCCTAAAAGTGGAACCTTTCTTTTTACCAAGATGACACAGGAGGTCACACTGAAGAACATCTCTGCTCTGGCTACTGCTCCAGCCAGGGATGGCCAAAGGAAGAGTGTTACAAACTGTACCACTGGGAAGTGTTTTAATGACTAGTTTTTGAGCAGCATGAACCAGTTAAGATGTACTTTTGATGGCAAAAAAATCCAATCAAACATTAGTTCATGCAAACATTCGGGAAAGCCCTAATGGTTTTTAGTTTGTTTTTAGGCTTGTCACTCTTCAGAAAATCCAGTTTGCTGCAATATTGTCACTGATAATGTGCTTACTGGACATCACTCAGGGCAGGCACTTTATTGTCACTTTTAAAAGCCCTGTCTGGTCCTTTCTGCTGCCTGTGGCACGTCCCTGGTCCCTGAAGTGACAGGGGGCCAAAGCAGGAGGATGCAGGGGCACAACTGCTGAGCTCCATCATTCCTGCTGAGCTTTCAGGAAGATTTGTGTGCACACAGCTTTGTGCAACATAAATGTTCTATACATTATTAAAGCACAGGTCAAACTCCCTGGATACACATTCTGAGGTAAAAAAAATCCATCCCAAAGCCAGTGTTTGGTTTTAATTCATGCTTACAGTGTAATACCTCAGGGCCTCAGTCAAACAGGGGAAGGGATAAAACTACTATGAGACTCATGGGCTATAGGATAGGATATCTAGATCGAAATCACTTATTTTAGGAGTAATCTGGTTTGCTATGAAAGGTGCTGAATTATCAGTAGTGCTTGCAGGCAATTAGAGTTGTTAATATTCTTTGTACTTGGTGTACAGCTGCCTACGCCTACAAACCCATGAATCACGGCCCTCTAATTCAGTTTCCTGCAGTGAAACCAAGGTATTATTAACATTCCAATAAAGAAAAATCCTCTTAATTCACTACTTATATTTAATGAATTGATTTATAGAATAGAGACAGTGCTGGCACTGCAGAAAGAGTCTCCAACACTTATTTCCACTCCTGGTTTGTATAACCAGAGTGCTCAGCACCTCAGTTTCTCCATCATTTCAGATGGAAATAACCAGAAGTACCAACAGGCTGGAGCTTTAAAGTTAAATGATATTCACTGCAAAAGCTTTCAGCATTTCCATGTTAAAAGGCACAGGCTTTTAAATATTTATTTTTTAACAACACAATAGTGCCTCGATCTGAAGACACACATAGATGGCTTGGGGCTATTAAAGTGCTGAGGAGGCCTCCAGGAGAGCAGCTCTCTCCTTCTTTGTGTCCTAGGATTAGCTTATGCAGGACAGGTCTTGCAAATACAGAGCAAAGCATAAAACATTCATCCCCTAATTTAAAGCATGAATGAACTTACCCCATAGGTAGGAAAATCCTGCATTTAAGCTGCCTTGTCTCCCTGGAGTTACTCCTGACAGGCTGCTGTCACCAAAGTGATCCCAGGCAGTGGTTTGAGTGCTGCAAAGATAAGGTCTGTCTTTGTGAACTCCACTTAATCACATTCCTCTCAGCCCACCTTCTACTCTCAGACTGCCACTCCAGCCCTCCACACACTCTCAAGTCGTTATTTCAGTCATAGATGATTTATAGTGCAGTCCAGAGAACAATTAAACCCATAATCTAATAATTGTTTTAACTGTGATGAAGATTCATTTGATTTATTTGACTTTTTGGTGTCCTCTGTTGCTCTCGCTCCCCTTGCTGTGACACTTACTCACTTTATTTTTCAGGAAAACAATCCAACATTATAAACATTTAGCAGATATATTTGTAAAGCCACGCTCTTAGTCTAGTATTTCTCCTAGACACAGCAGTAGCAGTGGCAGCTGAGACCCTTTATTAAGGTCCCTGGTGTTGTATTTCATTTGAAGAGATTGCAGGACATGATTCAGCGACACGTCAGTGGAACAACATGTGAATGAATCCAGATTTTGCAAAAGAGCTGAAACATCCCTGATCTCTGCCCTGATTTCAATGCTTGGGCTCGTTTTGCTTTGAGGTGTGCTTTGCTCCTTAATAAAATTCCTGGGATTGCTGCTCCCTGGTGATGTGGTCGCCAGTCAGAAGGTGAGCTGGGGTCACCACAACGACTGTCACTTCAAGACAAGCCCTGGTTTGTGCTGCTGAAGGATCACCCTGCCTTTTGCTCTCACCAAAACCTCGCATTTTCATCCCCATTTGGACGTGGAGCCAGCGTGGAAAAACATGCTGCTGCTTGAAAATGTGGCAGAAAAAATCGCGGCTCAAAACCTTCCTTGTCTGGAACATATTTCTTGGCTCAGATTCCTCCCTGGGATTAGGGAAGTGGTGGGATCCAGCCCCGCACTGAGCGTGTTTCAAACCAACCGGGACCCGTGAACGTCTCGCTCCCTCTCGTGGCCACAGGGTACTGTGGAGATGGGCTCTTTTGGGTTATTCACTTACATTATGTGCAGATAAATCCCGTTTACAGTCAGGAAAGGCCATGGAGAACATCACTGCTTCCCCACATTCCCAAGTGTCCATCCCCACATCAGTCTGCTTTCTGTCCCTTCCTGCCCTCCCCCATATGAAACAACCACTCATTCCACCAGCTTTTGTTCATCTGTGCATTTCCTCCACGAAGCTGCCTGTTTTTAGGAACACAGTATACAGAAAGGAAAAGAAACCACATTATTTTATATGTGATTCCTCCCTAAAATCAGCGTGGAAATGGGACTTTTTCCATGGAACTTCTTGGGGGTAGTATTTCTCATTTATTCATCCATGTGCATTTCATTCTCAAAGACACACGAGTTAATTCCCAGAGACAATTTGTCATTTACAAAGAACTGGCTGTGCCCATATGCTCTGTGTGTTCCTTAGTCCCTCTCCCTGTAAACCCAGGCAAGTCCTGCCCCACCTTGAAGATGCCCAGACAGCTCCTGGCCTCAAACAGTGCTGGGTTCTGCTCAAATTCCAAGCAGGTGTGATCTCGGTCACCTGGTCAGGATTATAATATTTCTTGCTGAATTTCCAGCACACCAAGACAAAGTGTATTTAAAAAAATTAGGACATGTAAATTCTTACTGACAGGCATTTGGTTTGTCTGTATAAACTCACAAACAAAGCAGTGAAAGCCTTTGAAAGTATTAAGAAAAACTCCCAGAACCATTCTGCAGTGAATGAGACTGAGTACACAGTATGTGTGTTTTTCCCCCCTCTGGCTCCATTGCTGTGTTGCTTTCCTTTTATAACTGTTCCAGTTAAAAAACACTCCTGACCTAAGAAAACCTACGTCAACCTTATAATTTTTTGTTAAATACATGGTGGTCAGTCACAGGTTTAAAAGTAGTAAAGAGTGGGCATTCCATATTTAACTCTGAGTCACTCCATTGTGTGTCACGCAGAGACAACTGCTGGCAGACTTTGGGAAGAGTTTCTCTGGATGAAATACTCCCTGACAGAAATCCCAACTCCGGGGTGTCCTCAGGACCATGCACACTCCCTACAATCAGTTCTTAAGCCCTATGAAACCTGTTGCATTCCATGAAATTTATGTTTTCAGGACTAAGTCCCCGGAGAATTTCGCTGTCTCTGATGAAAGGCTTGTTGAGGAAGCAGCTGAGAAGTTCTGCTCCGGGGTCTTTATAAACAACCAACACTAATTTCCTCTCAAGGAAGGCACTGCAGACCATCTACCAAATGTCTCCTACTCCCTTCACACCAGTATTTTGTTTCTGGTAGGCAGTGGTGTTACTCCTGAGTAAAAAATATAATTCAGGCTTTTGTGTTAAACGGCCCAAATTCATCTGCTTCTAATGAAGAACCTTAAAATGTGAACAATATCAATTTCAACTTTGGAACTTCAACATCAAATGACAGACTTTGAAATATTACAGAGTAATCTTGACATTTTACATAGATCAACTCACTCTATGTAAAACTCCTGCACAGCCCTCTGTGCCCTTTCCCTCTCCCAGCACATCTTAATCAGCTTTTCATCCCTGACTCAGATGACATCATGGAGAAAAGCGACTTGTACAAAGAACAACTGCCCATAAATCTCAAAGGAAACTTTCTGAAGCGTAGATACTTTCTTCTTTCCCCTTAAATACGTTTATTTTGAGAGTCTTACTGATTTTGGTGAAGCTCTGAGTTACACCAGCTGAAAATCCAGCCCCGTCTCTAAACCTGACTGACACAGATCATTACTGTTGTAGCTCAAGAACTCCAACTTCAAGCATTGTTGCCATTTGCTCATTCATAATCCCTCTCCCTCACATCTGACAGCTTGGGCTGCTCACAGCTCTGGGCATAAATTACACTGCCAGGAGCACAGATGGGCAAGGAACAGGATTGGATTTATAGCTGCTGATCCCTTAAAAAGCTGCATAATATGAATATCTGAGTTTGTCAATACTAAGCCCAATCTCTTACTATAGGAAACTAAAACCTCAGTGACTCAAACCCAAAAGCTACAATAAAGTGACACCTATTTGAGGCCTGTGCAAACCAATGATGAGATATGATGGACTTGAACTTTAACAATTTGGGAATAAGGGAAGGTAAAAGCCATTCCTGAGGGCAAGGATCTGTAGTTATGCAAAAGCCTTCTGCAATTCCATGCATCATCTGCTGGAATGTCACCTCATAGTAAAGCAAAGTTGCCTTGTGGAAAGCAGAGAAGAAAATTCGGAGTTATCCTTTGGGGTCTCCTCCTCTGTCAAGTAATTGAACTTTTGCTCAGACTGGATCATGTGTTTTTTTATTTCAGTACCTGCCAAAAAGGGTGGGTTTGGCTGCAAAGGGAAAACAGGAAATGGCTTGAAAATTAATAAAGCTTGCAGAAAACAGCTTTTATGCTTCTGACCAAATATTGCAGGGCCCACAGCTGCCCCCAGGGTACAGAAACAGGAAATTTGGCAACAGAAAGAGACAGTGTCGTTTGAGTTACAGGGGAGGTTTGCAAAGGATGTCATCAAATGGAACGCCTAATTTACACTTTTTGAGTGTTTTTAGTGAAAAGGTAGAAAGGGTAAATATGGGTTTACTTTGTGCAGACTGGAGATGTTGTAAACTAAGATTTCCCTTGTGTTGGAGATAATGGATGAGATGGTTCTGTGGAAAGAAGCATTTTAGAGCATTGGAGCTGTACTTTCATGGAAAATCCTGTAATAAGTCAGGCAGAACATTCAAATGTGTCCCCATGCTGTAACCTCTGACAGCTCCTGGGACTGCAGAGGGGTAATTTGAATATTCCTCTGTGCAGAGAGGAGACATTTGTGTGGCCTTTTTAGATCTGAGTATAGAGAGTCACCCCCATGTGTACATGCACTGCTTTGCTCTCTATAGTGGGCTTTAAATAGAGTGTGGATGGTTGTGCTCCCATTTTACAGGTTATTTACTTGAAGTCAAAGCCCATTTGTGATCAGAGGGAACCTTGGATTGACTTCAGTGCCCCTGGGTTCATGATTGATCCAGGGGAAAACATCATCCCACACGGCTTCGCCCCTGAGGCGGAACAGTCGGCAGGATACAGCCACCACTTCTCTACTCCCCCAGCTCTGGTTCATTCCTCACTCTCACTGAACCAGACACAGCCCAAACCTCTCACAAGACTCTGCAAACCACTGATATGATGAGACGGAAGGAGCCGATGATGAAACGCAAACACAAGGGCTGCGTGGACTCCAGCCCCTCTCCACGTCCTCCCCCAAACCACTGGGATTGAAAACACAGACCTGCCTGGCAAGAAAAAATAAAATGAGTGACCCATGCACTCATATCCTGGCAATTTGTGGGAATTGTCATAACGCACCCAGACCAAATTACAACATCTCTGTGTGGGTCTGACGCTCCTGTCACGGCAGCACTGGGGCACATGTGCACATCCCCTGCCAGGCACACACGTGGATGTGCTCACCTTCTGTTCTCTAACAGACACACAATTAAAGGCTGCTTTCAATGCAGATGAATTGTTAAATCAGAACCTGTGAATAACTCCTTTTTTGCCACAAAACCTATTGGCTTAACGGAATTACAGAGCACTGAACTGCAGTTTCATTAAACGCCCTGAATTTGGGACAGTTCAGAGGAAAACTGCTCCCTGTCCCCCTGGCTGCATCCCCTCTCCCAAGGGCACGTTGGCTCTTCTGAAAGAATTTTGTTGCTGTTTTAAATCAGCCTTAATCTCCTTACACAGTAACTGTCCCCACTGGAAGGCAAGTTCCTGTCACAGTTGTCCTTCAGGAACAATCCCATCCCAAGATGACAGTTAGGAAGAAGCTTTTTCACCAGCTTGTTTTCCATCTGTAGGCACATTTCTTATGCCCTTTGTTGCACTTTGATACCCTGATAGAAGCTGATGTTATTAAATTATCCACAGTTCAATACATTTAGCTAAGGAGTTTTCCTTTGAGGAACAGGTCTGAACAGGAGAAACAGGCTGGTATAGGAGAGACTATTCCTTACTGGGAAAAATAATAAAAGTATTGAAAA